TATATATATATATATATATATTGGAAAGGAGGAATGGGTTGGACTCGAACTCGAGTACTGTGTGAGAATTCCTATGTGCTGCTTAGCTCCGATATTGATCAGAAGCTTCTACAAGGAAACGTGGAAATGTCATGTTTTGCTTGCAGAATGGTTGTGCCAAAACTGCTTTGACCTTCGATCTTACGGATTTAATTAATTATGTGATTATTACAACGCAAAGTGGTAGGAGACTGAAAAGTTGTGACACTCTTGGTCAACACGCACTCACGAAGCCTCCTTCCTCACCTTTCCTCTGTTCCCACGGACTTATCATTACATCACCCCCAACGTCAGCTGATGTCAGAAGCCAAAATTAAGATCATTGTGACATTGTCTGATTTTGAAACCAGCCCCACCACCCAACTCCTTAAGTCTTTCAAAAGTGAGGATTTTGTTCAAATTTGCGTACTTTTTTATGATTTCATGGTCCAGTTTGTAGATATCAGAAGAGAAATGAATAAACCCAAGAATTTCCTTCAGAATCTGATTAAACCCTTCAAGTTTGGTTCAGGTAAAGGTAAAATGCAACGGTTTTTTAGCAATTTGTTGATGGGTTTTTGTATGTGAGATCGTTGTTTGATACTGTTAGTGTTTCTTGGGTTTCAGAGGGACAGAGTGAAGAGGAATTGGAGAAGATAGCTCAACAGGAACAAAAGCAATTTCCTTTTGAGACTTTAGTTGCTGCAACCAAGGATTTTAACCCATCTCACAAGCTTGGCGAAGGGGGTTTTGGGCCAGTCTTCAAGGTAAGATCTTCGTATTGAAACTCTGTTTGCTTACCCAGAAAGTTGAGGAAAAACTTTGGAGCATTTTGTTGCCAAACTGGATTAAATTTAGCATTTTTTTTCCTTCCTTTTTTCTTTTTTGCTTGAATTAACACTGATTTTTATGGTACAAATGGATTGGCATGTGCATTTTTCATATTTTTTCCATGGTCACAACATTTTTATGAGACATCGATAGCTTAAGAAAATGTCATGGACGCCCTAATTCTTGAAATTTTGTTATTGAATTTTCTGAAGAATGCATATTTTTATTTTCTCCAGAATGCATATTTTTATTTTCTCCAAATGAAGCCCTATAGAACTATTGGCTTTGAGAAAATTCGAACAATATGACCTTATAACACAACTTAGTTAATATCTGTGGTTTGACCTATCAAGCCTTCGTTTTTTTCTTCCGATTTTTAACATTTGTTATTCTCAGCTAAAAAGAGGCAAAGTATATCATATTCTCAGTAGATATTAACAGATCACATATATATACATTGTCCATGTATGTTTTATTATGAGAAACTAGAAATTCTTTTTAGTGTAGTTTATACATTGAAATCTCGTTACATGTTCAGTTATAGGAACTGTCAGAAACTTATTATTATCTTAGGCTCTTACTTTTGTGTGTGGCTTTTCGGGTAGCAAAGTGTCTCCCATAACACAGAAACCAAACAAAATGGTTAGGAGTCCTAACTTGATAGTTGCTTGTCAATTTATAGGGGAGGTTGGATGATGGGAGAGATATTGCTGTTAAGAAGCTATCCCATAGCTCAAATCAGGGGAAAAAGGAGTTCATGAATGAGGCTAAATTGCTATCACGTGTGCAGCATCGAAATGTTGTCAATTTATTGGGGTATTGCGTGCACGGCATTGAGAAGCTGCTGGTTTATGAGTATGTGCCTAATGAAAGTCTGGACAAGCTCCTCTTCAGTAAGTACCTGTTATTTCTTTGTTCTTTTCTTTTTATTCATTTTTTATTTGCTTGTGCTTATTAGATTTTGTATTGGCAAAAGAACGAAGCACTATGCAAATTATATTTGTTGATTTAGATCTCTATTTTAACAATGGTTCTATTTACCCTTTCCATAAAATTTTGAACCTCTAAGACTTTGCATAGGATTGAAAGCTGAAAGGATATAAAGTTTTAAAATCTGATGGCAGGCTGGACAAATTTCCTCCCTTGTTGTGTAGCCTACCATAATATAGAAAGGCTTTCATTTTTTCCATGTTCTTATCGTTTCTACTAACTATATGCACAGATGTCCATTAGTCCCATTGTCTTGAAGGAAACCACATGAAAGAAACTTGGAGAAGAGTTATACTAGGTCATATATGTATGCCCTTCTCTTCAAATTTTGTGGAACGATTTGTTATTTTCTCTGAATTCTTTCAAGATGTGCAGTACCATGGATAATTGAAAAGTTTCTGTCTTTGTAGGAAGGCAGAGGTTACCCAGTCAATTCTGAGCACTCAGTATTTAAGAACTTAATTACTCTAGAATTTGCTTTGAAGTAAAGCAACTCTAATTAGCATATGTACTTTTAATAAATATATTGTTTACTACAGAGGAGTCAAGAAGTCAACTTAAGCATAGTATGGGCATTGTGGCCTGTCTTATCTATCCTGTTCATCCATACATGCATGTGAGCATCCATTTCTTATGTCTTAAAGGAAAAAGGAGAACTATGGTTCAAGTATGTGACTGTAAAACTCTGAATCTTCATTCAAATGGCCTTCAATGAAGGAATTTTTTTCCTTAAGTTTGTGGGGGATAGATTTTTGGATTAGAAGTGAGATTTTAGTTTATGTTACGCTCCCTGTTATACTTATAGCTTCAACTGTTATCCCATTCCACTCTTAAGTTAAAACCTTTTTCTAAATGAGATTATTTGCGATCATTTTAGCATGCAATAATGTTTGTTTTTGAGTGAGAAAACAATGGTTTGAGATTGAATGGTATTTCTGCAAAAATCATTTTGATGAACCATAATTGATATTCCTTCCTTGAAACTGTTTACTTTTGAATGGATTATTTACACCATAAATTAATCAGATGATTTCATCATGAAACTTCAGTTGCATGCATTAAATAAAGATAGCAAGAATGAATGAATAAACCAGCTTCAAATGGTTTAGTATTGTATATCTTAAACTGGTCCGCATGAAGTTAACGATTGAGTCATCCTGGTGTATTGTTTGTTTTTCTATTGATTTCTAAATTTGTTGTCAATTTGTTTATTTAATGGTCATTTTCTGTCTCTAGCCTCAGAATGTAAATTTTGGTGCTAGAAAGTGGGTTTGAGACCTCCATGGCTTGAGACAACATCATGTATAATTGAACTTCAAAGTCAGTTATTCTCCTTTTAATGTCTGACAGTTGGGTTCTCTGATTTTTCTAAAAAAATGTGACTCTTTGTGAGAATTGGCCTAACTTTAGGATGTGAATTTGAATTGTATACCCAAATCAATGAAATATTCAGTTCTGGTAAAAACTTGGCGGCTCATAGTGGTGGTGGCACACCAGTAATCAAATATATCCCATTTCTCAAACAACTAAGTTGATTGTAACATAAACAAATAATATTATAGTTATTGATTTCATGCCTTTGAATAGAATAGATTAAAATCTTTTGTAATCATAGTAATTCTGAATGTTACAGTCTTTGTGTAGAATCCAAAAAAAAAGAGGAGCTTGACTGGAAGAGGAGGTTTGATATAATCTGCGGTGTTGCTCGGGGATTGCTTTACCTTCATGAACACTCACATTATTGCATCATCCACCGGGATGTCAAAGCCAGCAATATTTTACTTGATGATAAGTGGGTCCCTAAAATAGCTGATTTTGGCATGGCCCGCCTCTTTCCCGAGGATGAGACACATGTCAACACCCGTGTAGCTGGTACCAAGTATGTTCTTTTACATGGTTTAAACCTTAAATTCTTGTGACCTTGCTGTAATCCTGTACCTCCTTACATCATCAAAGGTGGTGGTAATTTATTTTTACTTTGATTCTTGTAAGCAGTGGATATATGGCACCAGAGTATGTCATGCATGGTCACTTATCAGTGAAGGCAGATGTCTACAGCTTTGGGGTTTTGGTTCTGGAGCTGATTAGTGGCCAGAAAAACTCCACTTTCAGTTTGCAATCTGAAGGACAAAGTTTACTTGATTGGGTGAGAAAAGGATCATGTCCTATTGTCCTTGGTTATTCGTTTGCTATGCTCATATTTGTTGCTGAATAAAATCTGATGAACTTAACTTATAGATTAAGGTTTTAACTGAAATTTTTGTTTAAATTTCAGCAGTATGTGAAAAGGTTAAGGTTAACAAGAAGCATTAGTGGCTTACTAACTTGCATTTGTGTTTTGCTATTTGCTTGCAGGCATATAAGCTCTACAAGAAAGGCAAGAGCTTGGAGATAATGGATCCTGCATTAGCAGCATCAGCATCATCCTCAGCAGCCCATGAACAAGTAGGTTTGTGCATCCAAATAGGATTGTTATGCATACAAGCTGATCCCCAATTACGACCCACAATGCAACGTGTAGTTGTGTTGCTATCGAAGAAACCTGGCCATCTAGAAGAGCCAACCAGACCCGGAACTCCTGGTTCTCGGTACAGAAGATCCCGCAGGCCTCCTGGAATGTCATCAACTCATGGAACTTCTGGGGAAATTGATTCTAGAACGCTTGATACAAGCCTTAATACTAGCACAGCTTCTGCATCTACGTCAACCCGTGCAAGCCCTAGGTTAGATCCGCATGGGAAGCGTCCCATGCAGAATTAGATTTTCGTTATATTCTTTGTGCATATATGTTGTTTCCTTTGACTATTGTGAAAATTAGTTGAGACAGTGCAGAGGTGTATAGAAACTCTAAAATTTGGATTTCTTGATTTCTCAAGTGTTCTCTTACTTCTTTTTTTTTTTCTTAGAACTAATGCAATTGGAGAGTGGGGAATAGAATTGCTAAGGCTCGAACCTTGTGTTCTCTTATTTTTGTTTTTAGCGACAATGAAATTGGGTTCAGTTTTCATCAATGGTGATAAATCTTGTAAAAAAGTAGTTTATTTAAAAAAAAAAATTTATTTTATAATTTAGACTATATTAAATAAAAGAATTGTTATTCTTTGACTTTTTTCGTTTGTAAATTTTTCTCTTTTTTTTTATTTATCAATAAGAAAAAAATTTGGTAATAATATAAGAAAAATTTTTAGATGCTAATGCTCTATATATATATATATATTATCTTCTCACGCCATCCTTGGTTGGACTTCCAACAAGTGCAAAGATCAACCACTTGTGACAGGTACACAATTATGTATGTGGTTAATGGTAAGGATTTAGAGATATAACACTTAAATTTTATTTATTTATTTATTTTTTTGAAATAAGCAATGGATTTAAATTTTAATTTTCAAACCAATTACTTGCATTAATCCCCTACCTCTTAATATTTAATTGTATTGTAATTGTCTTAATTTTTTTTTAAAAATAAACCATTTGTAATGGGTAATTTTAGAAACATAGGGAGTGGAAATTACATCAAGAAGGATTGAACCTTGACTGGGAGGATGGAGCAGCTGTCAGGTGACCATGCTGTATATAATTAATGAACTCAATTTCTTTCGTGGAGATTTCAACAATTGTTATTCGTAAATCGTTTTGCTTCCAATATTCCCTCTCATTTACGTAATTATTATAATATTGGTTTTGTTTAAAAATTTAAAAACATGAAACCTTTTTTTTTTTTACCTTAAAATATTTGTTACTTGATATTATAAAAATTTAAATTTTTAATTTTAATTTAAATACAAAATTTGAAATTAATAAGTATCATGTTAAAAACATTAAAATCTGAGATTATGTTTGGTTGAAAAAAAAACAAAAGGAAGTGGAGAGATTATATTTTTAACTAATTAGTCAAATTATAATATTAGTTAATATTACAATTTAATTAATAAAAAATTATAAGATTAAAAAATATTTGCAAAGAATACTTTATTTTTCAAATTAGACTTTTAATGTATAATTTAAGCACTACAATTGCTTAAATATTATCAATAAATTAGAAATGATTTTTTGGCACTTATTTTTCTTAGCATTAAATTTTTAATATTTAAAAGTTACGTAAATCTTAATTAATTTAAAATTAAATTGAGTCCAATCTTTAAAAAATAAAATAAAGAAAAACAACTCTCTCAACATATATATAGCTTGTTTTATAAATTTAAAGTTAAAATTTTACTTTAAAAAAAACCTGAACTCATACAGTTTAAAATAACGTAATGATAGTTTTAGCACCTATTTTTCACTTCATTCCTTTCACCTCGACAAGACATTTCCACAATGTTATCATGTCATTTTGTTTTAATCTCATCTTTAATTTTTATTAATTCGTTTAATTTAAATGAGATAAATAATATTTGTATATATTTATATACTTTAATATTGTGCCCATATGGTAAGATTTATTGTAAATTTTCATTTTAAAAAGACAAAACCGAATTAAAACAATGTGACATAGCATTCACGTAGAGGTAAGGAATAGATATAAAAAATGAGTGTTAGAAACTATTTTGGATAGTAATTAAGAGTCCTTCAAAGTTGTGCTTAAAGAGTAAATTAATTACACTTTCTCTCTATAATTTATATAAGAAAATCAAAAGTTCAATTTCATTTTTAACATCAACGTGGAGATGTTTTTAGTTAGATAATTGATAAAATTAAAATAAAGTTTTATTTTTTCTAACCACTAATAAGAAAAGATGCATTTATTACATTATTAACTTATGTTTTTAATATACAAGTTAAACAAATTTTTTACTTTTTATTTATTTTTAATGAATTTAGTTTTTCTTTTTAACTTTTTAAATATAAATTTTAAATAAAATTTTAATATATTATATAAATAATAATTTAAAATTTTTTATTAAATTAAAATACACAACAAAAACTATATATAAGAAAAAAAATTCAATTATTATTCATATAAATTATTAAAATTTTATTTAAAATTTATATTTAAAAAGTTAAACAAGAACTATAAAAAAAATTACCGAGTGGAGTAATTAATATGTAGAAAGAATTTTATTAAGATTAATTTAATAAATTTATAGTTTTATTAAATAAAATAAAAAATTATTGTGTATTTTAAATGGTAGCAAATTATATAACTAAAATTATTAAATAAAGAGTAATCCTTTAATATTGAGGTTTTCTTCTTATGTAATATATTTTTTAAAATTTTAAATTACATAATAAAAATATTTTTTTTATTTTTTAACACACTTCACTTATATATTATACAATTTAAAATTTAAAACTCATTATTTTTACTAAAAAATTACTACTAAACTTTATTATTATTAACTCTTTTTTTTAACATGGAGAATTATAAAGGAATGAAGGATTTTTTTAAATAATTAGTAGAAGTCAAATTTTTAACTAATTAAATTCAAATATTACGATTTTAAAAAAATCATTAAATCTAAAAACTTAATTATATTATTAATAATAATTTTATTTGATAATTTTTATATTATAATTTAAATTACAAAATAAGATTTTCTTGTCCTAAGTAGTTTAATAAAATCGTAGCCTGCACTGCTTTCCACGAAAAATAAGATTTTTTTTTAAAAAGTAATAGTTAAGAAATTAATTTTTTAATTAATTGTTAATAATTGGAGATTCGATCTCCAAATTGAGTGAATATTTTACCCCTTCATTGAGACGTGTAACCATCAAACTACTTTAGTTCAAAACTTTCAAAATGATGATAGAGAATCACCTCACCCAAATACTTTAAAGTTTGAAATCAAATCATAACGCCTAAAGTCGGATTCACGAAAAATAAGATTTTGATAAGCAAAATTCTGTTTATTCAAGTGTGGGATCATTTTCTCATAAAAACAAATTGTACGGTGGATAAGATTTTTGATTTTGGAGCAAGGAGGCACGATGAATGATGCGTGGTGTATAGCATGAGGAGGAGGAGGACGAAGAGTACACTGACTCAAGTCAACTCTTGATTTGGAATTTAGACTTTAGACGACATCGATCTCCCCACCCTCTCTCTCCCAGGTTTTCACTTTCACTTTGCTCTTCCTCCTCCAGTCCTCCTCTCCTCCAAAGTCCAACCCACGGGATCGAATCGATCATAAGCCTAACTCTCTTCTGTCTCAACTGGGCCCCACTTGCCGCACTTGGACACTGATCTGCTACCTTTTTATCACATGCGCACTCCGCGCAAAATCAACTCAACTCAACTCAATGTTGCCGGTTGTGGTTTTTGTGATATATTAAAAGAATTTTTTTTTTTAAGATTATTAAAATTTTAGTTTTAATTTTTAAATAGTATTAATTTATTAATTAATTTTAGTTTATTAATTAATAAATATCAAATGTTTTATAAATTATTAATTAATAGTTATAATCATTAGTTAATTTTATTAATTAAATTAAACAAAATTAGTTTTTTAAAAGATAATATTTTATAATTTTGATAACTTTAACATTTTTATTAGTGGTTATAATCTTGTTTAGTGTTGCCTTACTCATTTTTAAGAAAAAAATTTTGAATTATAAAATGAGAGATAATTATTTTTTTATTTCTTAATTTTATTATACTCGCGTATTATATAACTCAAACTAAAAATATTTTAATTTTATTAAAAATATTTTACTTCTACTAAAAAAAATTTATTACTAATGTGCTTCTACTCATGTAGTTGGCAACCTACACATGTTTTTTTTATTGGTTTGCATTAGGAACAACTTATAGTATTTGCGTTAAGGGAAATGGAAGGGAGGGGAAGAAAAAGAAAAAGAAAATTATTTAATTTTTAAAAATATTAAAAGGGAGGGGAGGAAAGAACTTTTGTTTACTTTATTTTTTTTAAAATTTAATTAGTTATCAAAATGAAAGAAAGAAAATGGTAGGAAATGAAAGGAAACAATTCCCTTCTTCTCCCCTCCCTTCCCCTCTCCTTCATTCTTCTCAACGCTAATATAAGATTAAGGTTAACCTCAAATTAGTCCTCATGCTTTTTTTAATATATTTATAATAGTCCTTATATGTCACCTTCTGTTTTGTTCATTTTCATCTTTCTAGAAAGGATAATAAGAATTTTTCTTTTTACTTTATAACAATCAATTATCTATTATTTATAATCTTTTAGTTGGCCTTGGATTCAATCATTTTAGTTTTGCTTTACGATTAAAACTAATCTAATTCTTATATATATGTCTAATTTCAATAATTGTCATAACCTCTCTTATAATTGTAACAAGCTAACCATGTTTTAGTTAATATATCTTGTTCAAGTGAGAAAAACTTATCAAATTTTCATATCACTAAAGCAAAAAGAGTTTTTTTTTTCCTCAACGAAATTGATTGCGTAAAATATTAAAAGAGATATGGTTAGTTGACTTTTTTTAGTAATCCGGATGCTAATCTCATTAGGGTGTTAGGCTGTATCTTGTGCGGGCTATATATAGTGACTTGATTTTCCTTGTTAACCTCAGCCAACTAGGAATAATACATGAATTTACAAAGCTTAGTTTAAGGGCAAAGTGGAGGAAAATTAAAAAAATAAAATAAAATTTAAAGTTCTTACATTGGAATTATCCCCATGGTTGAGTTCAGTAGTCTGTTTCACAAAATAGAAATACCCACGGACCCACGTCTTTTATAAAAATTGTCTTATTTAAAAAATAAAACAAAAAAGAAGCATAAGGACTATAACGAATATTTCACGAAAGTATAAGGACCACATTAATCTTGTCGAGTGAGAAGGTGACACGACACCGGGGTCATGCTTTGTTCTGTTGTGCGCAGGGAATTATGAATTATCACCCAATTTTGAAACGCTCGCTTTGAAGTGAGGGACCAGGGACAAACCGGTAATTCCAGACACCAAAATCTGATTGGACACTGTACCACGTCATCAATCCTCGTGATCAGATTTTAAAAAATCCACACCCGTCCGATCTTCACCAAACTACCCTCCCCTAGCCGTTCGATCACCCCCCGATCTCCTCCTCCTCCTCCCTCCTCAACTCCTTTCCGGCATTCCCACCTTTTATATCTAACCCTTCACCTCTTCTTCCTCTTCACAACAGTCCCTGTCTCTCTCTCTCTCTCCCTCTCCCTCTCCATCTCCGTCTGCCGCTCTGTTTCCGATCGAATCGCGTTAATGGCGACCGAAGATCCGACCAACGCACAGCCTCCACAGTTCTCTCTTCCGGACTACTCTCAGGTACTCAATTGGTCGAGTTTCAGCATTTCTCTCCTCAATTTTGGTTTCTGAATTTTATGGTTTCTTCGTTTCTGCAGTTGATTATGGAAGCGATCGATGCGCTCAACGAGCCGAATGGCTCCAGCAAGTCGGCCATTTCGAAGCACATCGAGTCCGCACACGCGGATCTTCCGGCGATTCACTCCATGCGGCTTACGCAGCATCTCAACAAAATGAAGCAGAGCGGTCAGTTAGTTCTGGTGAAGAACAATTACATGAAACCAGATCCTAATGCACCACCAAAACGAGGCCGCGGCCGGCCTCCCAAGCCTAAGGAGCCGCTTCCTCCTGGAACCGTTTTGCCTCCACCAAGACCTCGAGGCCGTCCGCCAAAGCCTAGAGATCCTTTCGCGCCACCTCCAAATCCGAAAAGCACCGGCGGAACCGGAAGACCTCGCGGACGTCCTCCGAAGAAGGCTAAACCTTCTTCTGCTGCCGCGCCCGCATCAGCTCCGCCTCCAGCTCCCGGCGCGAAAAGAGGGAGAGGTAGACCGCCGAAGGTGAAACCGGCAGTAGCGCCCGTAGGCTGTTGACTGAAGTAACAAAGTACAAAGACAAAGAAGGAGAGAGAAAGACGGAATTAGGCTTTTTTTTTTTTTTAATTTATAACTTTTTAGGTGTTGCTTAATTTTCAACTAATTGATGTTTTAGCTTTTTTTTTTTTAATTTTTAATTTTTGTTTTAATTATGTTGGGAGTGTTGTAACTGTCGTGACTGTAATTTCATGTAAATTGTTCACCGGATATGTAGGCTTTTAATTTATCCTTCTTGAGAATCTTTCTTTTTAAAAAGAAAAAAAGAAAAAGTTATATAAAAAAAAGTAGTGATATAAAAAAAGAAAATTTAAGATTAAAATTTATAATTAGTGAATGTAATATAAATTATGTTATTAAATAAATTAATATGTATAATATTAAAGTTTTAATAAAATTAAAAAAATAATTATTAAATAATACATAATTTATTTTTTAATATTTTAATTAATATAATTTATATT